ACGGGCACAGGGACTCTGGCCTGGCCCACAGGCAGGCCTGAAGTCTACGCACTTGACTCTGTCCCAGGGGCTTCCAGGGCCCCTGCCCCAACTCCAGTTGGGAAGCAGGGCCAACCAGTAAGAAGGAAGGGATACATTTGCACCTTCATGTACAGCAGGACTCCAGCCCCCGTCTGTCTACTCTGTCCAGTAGGAGACAGGCTAAGGTCCATCTTACTATACTGGTCCTGTGGGAAAAGAAGGACTACCAGACACCGAGTCTGAGAAGAAATCAGAAAAAATAACCCAAGCTAGAATTTGTTTCCTAGACTCAGGACTGAAGCCTTTTCATTCTGCACACTGAAAGCTCAACCCACCTCTCGGCTCCGAGCCCAATACATGTCTGCACTCTGGTGCTGGCCTTCGGGGAAGACTGGGAGTGGGGCTCTGGTGCCACCCCTACTTGTGGGAATGGTGGGAATGCAGGGGCAGAGAAGGGGGACTGTGAAGTGAGAAACCGTGGAGGTCAAATCAGTAAGACAAAGGGAAGAGTCCCCCAGCGTCTGCGTACTAACTGCCTTTGCCTTCTCTCCGTCACCACTAAGATGTCTAGCGGACATCTCAAACTCAGCTCGTCCCCAGTGGAACCCCTGGGCTCATTGCCTGGCCGCTCTGCCCGCAGCCTCCTTCCCCGTCGACAGTGCTAACCTTCTAGTTGCTCGGGCCAGAAACCTGGTCATCCTTGATTCCCCCGTGTGTTTCACACCTCATCTCCAGTCCTGTAGGAAACCCCAGAGGCTTTGCCTCCAGAATACGTCGTGATCAGTTTGTCCTCTGACCTACACTGCCGCCATCGGCTCTAAGCCCTCTCTCACCTGCACTGCTGTAATAGCGGCCCCCCCCGATTCTTTCCTTGCCTGCTTAGGTCTGTTCTAAACTCGGAAGCTAGGGTGATCTTTTAAAAACATGAGTCAGATCTTGTCACTTCTTTTTTTTTTTTTTTAATTTCTTCAAACAAATTTTATTTTATTTTTTTAATTTATTTTTTAAAATTGATTATGCTGTTACAGTTGTTCCATTCCCCCCTTCATTCCCCTCCACCCTGCTCCCCCATCCCCACCATTACCCCCCTTTAGTTTATGTCCATGTGTCTCAAGTCCTTTAGGTTCTATATTTCCCATGCTATTCTTGCCCCCCCCCATCTATTTTCTATCTACTGTCTATGCTACTTATTTTCTGTACCTTCTCCCCCCATCTCCTCCTCCCACTCCCCTGTTGCTAACCCTCCTTGAGATCTTCATTTCTATGTTTCCACTCCTGAACTAGCTGTTCTTTTAGTTTGCTTTCGTTTTAGGTGTGGTTGTTAATAACTGTGAGCTTGTCGTTCTTTCACTGTTCATGTTTCTTTAACTTCTTTTTCTTAGATAAGTCCCTTTAACATTTCATATAATAAGGGCTTGGTGATGATGAACTCCTTGAATTTGATCTTATCTGAGAAGCACTTTATCTGTCCTTCCATTCTAAATGAAAGTTTTGCTGGATAGAGCAATCTTGGTTGTAGGTCTTTAGATTTCATGACTTGGAATATTTCTTTCCAGCCCCTTCTTGCCTGTAAGGTCTCTTTTGAGAAATCTGCTGACAGTCTGATGGGGACTCCTTTGTAGGTGATTGTCCCCTTAGCTCTTGCTGCTTCTAGGATTCTCTCCTTCATTTTAATTTTGGCTAATGTAATTATGATGTGCCTTGGTGTGTTTCTTCTTGAGTCCAACTTTTTTGGTACTCTCTGAGCTTCTTGGATTTCTTGGAAGTCTATTTCCTTTGCCAGATTGGGGGAAATTTTCTTTTATTATTTGTTCAAATAATTTTTCCACTGGTGGTTGTGTCTTTCCCCCTTCTGGTACCCCTATAATTCGGATATTGGAGCGTTTAAAGATGTCCTGGAGGTTCCTAAGACTCTCCTCATTTCTTTGAATTCTTGCTCCTTGACTCTTTTCTGTTTGGCCATTATTTGCTTCCTTCTGGTCCACTCCCTTGATTTGAGTCCCAGTTTCCTTTTCATCGCTATGGGTTTCCTGTGGAATTCCATTCATTTCCATTAGTTTAGCCTTCATATGTTTCTCTAATTTGTGGCTATAATCAACCAGATCTGTGAGGATCCTGATGACCAGTGTTTTAAACTGTGCGTCTGAGAGTTTTGCTATTTCTTCGTCGCTTAGATTTATCTCTGGGGCTTTGAGGTCTTCCTGCGACATTTTTGGTCTGTTTTGGCCCTTTAAATGTGAGAAGCGGCGCCTTGGACTCCCAGGTCGCTGGGTTGTGACGCTGTATGTGGGGGCGTGGTCAGAGCGGGGAAATGGCGGCGCCCTTTACTGCCGGGCCCCGGTCCAACTGCCCACTCCCTCGCCTGTCCGCTCGCCCACAAATAGGCAACCGCAGTCAACACGCAGCACCGCCTCCCCACTGTCTCCTCAGCAGTCGCTCACCCAGTGGGTTGCTCGGTCGCTCACTAGGTCCAATCCTGCGTTTGGAACCCGTGCGTCTGGATTCGAGCGTCTGGATTCCGCGCCCGGGTCCGACCGAGCCCTCCTGTGCAATCCCTCACCAGACGCCGGTTTCGCCCCTTACCGGTCGGGCCGAAGAATTTGTTGTTAACGGACTTCCGAAAAGTTCAATTTTCCGTGTTCTGGTTGTGTTTTCTGATGCTAATATTTAGTTGTCCCTAAACTTGGTTGTGTGAGAAGGCACGGCACATCCACCTATACCTCCATCTTGGCGGAAGTCCTCAGATCTTGTCACTTCTATGCTCAAAACCCTAAGTGGCTGGGTCCCCATTGTCCCTCACAGTGAAGACCAGCATCCTCCCAAACTGGCTTCTTTGTTATTCCTCATGCCCGTCAGGCACACTCCTGCCCGTGGCCTTTGCACTGGCCGTTCCTCTGTCTGGAATGCTCTTCCCCCTACACACCCACAGTGCTTCTCTCCCCCGCCCTAGTACTCATCTTATTAGGAGGCAGGGCTCTGCTTTGATTTGGGGTCATGGAGATTACCCATGGTTTAGGGCAGACAAACAGATCCTTTTATGGAAGCACATGCGCTTTCTCATCTAAAGATTAACTAGGATGAAACTGCTGTCGGCTCTTAAAGGCAGTGGGGACTGCACAGAGCTGTGTGTGGAGCGGTTTGTTTTCCCCCCGAGGAACACACTTTTCCGAGGGCCGGCACGCCGAAGTCAGGAAGGCCATGGTGGGATCGCTGGGTCAGCATGGGCGAGGTTTGTAATTCTCCATCTGGTCAAGGCCAGAGGCTTTCTCACTTAAAAGATTAAGGCAGCACAGTAGGGTGTAAGGAATGTGTGGTGTAATTTTGAGCCTTGATTATGTAGTAATACCTCAAATCTATAAACAATGACATATCTACAATATTTCAGTTTTCATTGATCATTTATTCTTTGGATGTTTATCCTCCTTATTTTCACAATATTTTTCTACAAAAACATTAAACATCATAATTGGGTAAACAGAACATAGATTTTTAAGATCAGAGGATGTGGATTTTTACCTTCATTTGATCTTTACACTATTGGCAATGTCAGCATGGACAAGTTATTTAGCTTTTGCTTCTCCGTTTTATTATCTGTAAAGTGAAGATTCTAATTCTTCTGCACATAGGTTTGTTGCTGAGATCAGATGTGGTCACGTACCTCTAAGTGCTGTATCTGCAGCCTGGGTCATTGTTGGCTGCCACCTGGAATAGTGTTTCTTACTGGGTGTGTCAGAGTACAGCAGTGTTTTGGGACAGTTCAGGGATTCAGGAAAACATCATCGATGACTTTGAAATCAAACTCATGCATTTATCAGCGAATGGCCACTAGACCTGTGTTCTGGTGTTTTTGTGCACATCTTTATTCCTTCCCAGTCACCCCCTCACCACGCCCAAGTCCACGGAAGCACCGATCTGCCTCCTGTTAGCCCTGCCTCATGTGTAAACACACACACACATACACACACACACTCTTTCCTTGGGTGTTTGATGCCGTGGCTTGAAATAAAGATGGAGCCCTTCTTCTCTCAGAGCATGTTCATGGAGGGTCTCTCCACTTTTTCTGTTTAGTACTTGGTTTAGTTCAACATTTATGTAGTTTCTGCCATGTGCCAGGCACTTTGCTGGACCTTGGGATTCAAAACTGGGAAAGAAAGTGGTTCTAACTTTGCAGAGAATAGACAGAAACCTGGGGTTACCCTCTGTTAGGGCGCCTTTGTGATGGAAGTACCCCTGCACCATGCTGGGGCGCCGAGGGCACGGAGGCTGCTGCTTGTTCTCTAGACTTCCCTGGAGAGTTGGGGGAGGTGGCGTTCTTGGGCATCAGCTGGTTCACACGGGGATCGCCATTTCGTTTCGTGGCAGAAGACTGGCCAGAGAATTAGTCGGCCTGCCCTCTGAACTTTTCTGGGAAGGCCCTGTGTCCAACTGTCTGCAGTGTCAGGCCCTGCATCTGGTTTTTGGTTTGGAAAATGAAGTAATCTTACAGGGGCAGGGAAGCATGAAACGGTATGTTAAAGATCTTGAAATATTTGCCAGTTCTGCTTTGGGGAACAGTTCGTGCTTGATGCTCAGCCAGCCTTGGTCCTTGAAGCTCTGCCCCCAGCGAGCATTCATTCTCTTCTGTCTCATTGCATGTAACATGCAGTGAGCACACACTACATGTGGGACTGAGTTGGTCTCTGGACATGGTGGTGGGAAGTGTCCTGCGTGACCTGAAATCAGAGGTGTGACCAGAGCCAGGTCCAGGTCAGGGGATTATTTGCTTTAGTCATAGGCAGCACGGAACACCACGGATGTTCTTCTCTCTCCTTTACTCCCCCAGTTGCTTTCCTGGAGCTTCAGAAAGTTGTTGAAGGAAGTAGCGGCGTGGGCCACGGCGTGTTCGGCCCGTGCACCTGCACGGCCGTGCTGGGCCCCTGCGTCTGTGTGAGGTGTCTTCTCAGAAGAGACCACAAATGAGTCTCGTCTTTCTGTTTCAGACAGCCCGTTTGAGGATCCCGACCAGAAGGACACATACCTCACTCCAAGAAATATCATGGCTGAACCAGACTATATAGAAGATGACAATCCTGAACTAATTAGGCCTCAGAAACTCGTCAATCCGGTCAAAACGTCCCGCAACCACCAAGATCTTCACAGAGAACTTCTTATGAATCAGAAAAGGTAAGATGCCTTTGCGAGCAGAGGTCCTCTCGGGGGACTTGTGACTAGGTATAACTTTAATTATGTTTAGAAAGGCTTCAAAGAACTGTTTGTTTCTTCACTGGATTTGAGGCTCCGTATTCCCTCCAGCACCCTTGAGCCAGGACGTCGCTCCGCACAGCGAGGCTGGAGGAGGCGCAGCTGCCAGCACCGGGTTGTCCACATGTCTGCAGTCCTCTGTCCCTTCTCAGAGGGACACAGATCTTAAACCTGGGTGGGAGGGTCTGCACTGAGGATAAAAGGGGGTGTCCTGTGTCAAAGAGAAATACATTATTTCTCAGGTTGGTAAAAATTCTGAATTTCCCCCTTCTGTATGTGAATATGTGGGAGTCAGAGGTAAATATTGCCTGTTCTAGCACCTGTGAGTGTTAGGTCGAAGCCTCTAGAACTACATCTGTTTTAATAGATAATAACGCTTGCTTTGTCTTTGTTTTTCAGTAGCATTTTAGTTATTGTTATTGACATTTGTATTATTTTTAATTGTGGAAACAGTTTCTTTGCCTTCTATTTTCTGTGTAAACTATTTGTTAGTCCCCCGGTGCCATGAGTAATTTTGGATGTTGGGGTTGTGGTGCTGCTTTTTAAGTGATGCTGGCCCAGGGCCAGGAGACAGGGAGAGTGGAGGGTGCAAAGTTTTTTTTTTATTGATTAGGACACAGGGCTACCTTCATTATTTAAGGTCAGTTAAGCTGCATTTAGAACTGTTTTCAGATCTCCAGAATGAGCACTGTTGATCCAACTTGTGAGACTGTATGGCTCACTCCTCCACCCAGCCTTTGCTAAGCCCTGGTACTACCCATCTAACTGAAAGATACGTAGATCAAATTAAGCATTAGAGTCATGTTTTAGAGGGAAGGCCTCATTAAAAATTTTAAAAAAATTATTGTAAAGGAAATGAGGGGGCGTTTTTATAGCAGTTCTTCCCGACTGTCGCCCTGCCCGAACTCCCGTCCCAGGACCTCTTTGTAAGCACATCCTTCCTCTGGGCCGTGTGCCCCTCTCAGCCCCAGGCGCGTGAGTGGTGCTGCTTTAGTGCTTATAAACTGAAATCATCGCGTCCGATCCTTCCTGAGCAGTACTGAGCTTCTCCTGGTTTTTCTCACATCAAAGGGAAAAAATGGGTTCATTATCATCATGCCCAAAGCAAGAATAGGGCTCTCCAATTTCCTAAACGCCACAGAATTTAGAGACAGTCCTGCCTGGCGAAGTCTGCATTTTAGGGGAAAGATAAAGTTCAGTACACTCCAGAAGAGGGTAGCTGAATGGCGTTCCAAACTCAATGGCTGTCTGATCGTACGTCTTGGATCTCAGTTCCCTTACCTGTGAGGTGTGGGCAGGGGGCCTCGTTGGTCTCTAAGAACCCCTGGAGGTCACGCTGCTTTTCTGTCCTGTTTCTTCCTGCCAGGTCCGTGAAAAGGCTCCAAGTCAGATGGGGTCGGCAAAGGCAGAACAAAAACTGGCATGAAGTAAATATGAGAAAGATAGATAAAATATCCTTCTCGTAAAAATGAAAGTAAATAGCACGTATAACACCTGTTAGAAGGCATGGCGTACAGTTAGTACTCAGTCTCAACCGCCTGTCCACCCTCTATGCGGTGTCATCAGGGAGCTCCTACTGCTTTTTCCCTTCTTGTTTGAAAATTCCTGGTTTGGCTATAGAAGTGCATTTTTTAAAAGATTTTATTTATTTATCTCTAGAGGGGAAGGGAAGGAGAGAAGGAGAGAAATATCAATGTATGGTTGCCTCTTGTGGATCCCCTGCTGGGAACTGGCCTGCAACCCAGGCATGTGCCCTGACTGGGAATCGAACCACGATTGTTTGCTTTGCAGGCCCGTGCTCATTTCACTGAGCTACACCAGCCAGGGCTAGAAGTACGGCTGGTTTTAATGTGCAGACTTCTCAGGCAGTTTCTTCTTTTATTCATCTTCTATCACATATGTATTTCAGAGACTGTAGGGGGGTCATTTCTAAATTTTGATGGTAGAATATAGGAAGTATTACATCAATAATATATGTATGTTTGGTTAAAGGGTAATTATACTTGATTACTGGTTTGTACCATAATGAAAGTCTATCCATTTTCTATAATTTGTAAAGGGTCTTCCCATAGTTTACCTCGGCCAAGCCAGTGACCTTCCCAGTGACCCAGCCTGTGTTATCTTGGGGTCGTCCTGATTCAACACGGCGACAGGAGGGGACTCAGAGTAACAGGCTAAGGAATCTTCTCCCGATCTCACGGCAGTTTTTTGGAATCAAAAGGGTAGAAATAAACATACGACTCAAGGCAGTTTAAATGAAAGGCAGAGAATCAAATATAGGAATGATAAAAATCGGAAAAGGGGTAGGGAAATGAGAGGGAGACAGAAATGAGGTCGACGTACGACGAGCTTTCCGCAGAGCCCTGTACCTTTGCCCCGCAGAAGTTGGCTCCAAGCCCCGGAGCAGTTAGTTCAAAGAGTTTTTTTGAGTTACTTTGAAAAGATCTTAAGATGAAAGCAAAGTCACCGCTTAGGAGACCAAATACTCTACCCATAGGTTTTCTAACTCTGAAATTTAAGTTCTTTTAAGTATATAACTCTGCTCCTCTATTTGCTCTCTTTTGTACTAAGTTTCAGGTTAAAAGTCTTCACATTTTGAGCTGGTCACAGTTTGCCCTAAGGTCTGACTAAGGCCACTTTCAGGTTCTCAGGTTCTGTAGGTATTCCCAACGTAAGAAGAGCAGGGTTCAAAAGACAAGCTGTTTTTTTTTAAGTTGAAAGATTAGTGTTTAAGAGGCCTTAAAAATATTTCTAATATAATATATATACTGTCTTCTCTACAAGAGTTCTTTTGGAAGGCAAATACAGAACACCCAACTATTCAAACATACTCCTAACAGTGGTTCTTTGGCTTGTACTCTTCAGTCGGTTTTTACTCCCAGTGTGTTCGGTTGATCTTCATTTGGCTTTGCTAGATAGATATTTTCTCAATAAATACTTGTTGCTATACAACATGGAAAGTACAGGAAATTGGAGTAGAAGCATTTGCATTTGAATCTATGCAGGTAGATATCAAATGGTTCAGGCACAAATGCAGACAAGGCAGGCTGGGCCAGAGGATTCCAAGATTAAAGATCAAGGGCTTGGCGTGCAAATGCACTCTCCCTCTCCCCTAAGAGAACAGTTAGGCCAGGAGATGTTTGGCTGGGTGAGCAGGGGAGCATGTGCTGTTAGGGTCTGCGCTGGCCCTCGCCTCTGGCTCAGGTCTTCCACCCAGTTTCACTTTTGTGGGTTCAAGTGCCTCTGGAGTGGGGGTGAGGATGGGGTGGTGGTGAGGATGGGGTGGAGGTGATGGAGTGGAGGTGAGGATGGGGGGGAGGTGAGGATGGAGTGGAGGTGAGGATGGAGTAGAGGTGAGGATGGGGTAGAGATGATGGAGTGGAGGTGAGGGTGGGGTGGTGGTGAGGATGGAGTGGAGGTGAGGATGGGGTGGAGATGAGGGTGGGGGGGAGGTGAGGATGGAGTGGAGGTGAGGATGGAGTGGAGGTGAGGATGGGGTAGAGATGATGGAGTGGAGGTGAGGATGGAGTGGAGGTGAGGGTGGAGTGGAGGTGAGGGTGGGGTGGAGGTGGACGGTTCCAGCCCACCCCTGGATGTATTCAGTGGTTTTTGTGGCATGTGAAATGTATATATAACGTGTCGCCATCTTTTTGGAGGGCAGTTGGCAATATACATGAAGATGTAAAATGTGCTGACACGTAGCCACCAATTCTACTTCTATGAAGGTAGCCAACAGAAATACTTATGTAAGAATGCAAATATGAAGGTACAAGAAAGGTCATTGCTTCATTACTTGTAACAGGGAACAGTTGGCAACAACCTAAATGCATGTCCACATGAGAGTGGCAAATGGATGGCACTTCTGTATGTGCTGTGATGTCTTGTGTGGGTGTTATAAAGATTGAGGGGGAGCTTTGTCTGTAAAGGTATAGAAAGTTGGAGGAGCCTTCACGATGCTGTTATCTCTGGGTCCAATGGGGGAGGGCCCACCTTGTTCATTTTGGTGGGGGGACCATTGACATAAAGTACAGTGTAAGGGGTGCTCTCAAGATCTGTTTAACAAGGAGAGTTCAGGTGCGTTTTCAATGTTCATTTTACATATATGTGCATGTCACCTAACCTGTGTTTATGTGAGGAGCACTTACTCATTTTAAAAACTGCCTTGGCCCACTGCAATAGTCCCAGCTAGCAGGCTCAGGATTAACTGTTGGCTTTGAGTGCTACAAAGCCACCAGGACTTGAGCACCTGTCAGTTGTAAAGGGATTAAAGTACTTGTTAATTGTACATGTCAGAATTGATTAAAGAGCATTGACTGCTTGCATGCACAGAATGGTGGTGTAGTTTTTATGAATTTCCGGAAGCTCATTTCCAACTAGGTATGAGGAAGGAATGCCGTCTGACCCAGTTTTAGACACTGGGCGTCTACAGGCAGGGTGAGCCTGACTTCTTTCCACTCAGCACAGACTGTGGTCGGCGATGTCGAAATAGTAACTGAATTTGTGTGGCTTCGTGACTGTTACAAGTGAAGAGCATTTATCATATAAGCACCGTTCCTGAGCTGTTACTAAATGTTTTATCTTCCTGCCACCATTGTTTAAAATCTTTGAATAGGAGATGACTACTGTGTATTAATTAAGCCCATTCATACTTGGCAGTGGAGTGTCAGCCTAGTGTGTCATACATCAAAGTTTGCTCGATAGCTTCTACGGAATCCAGAAGAATTTAATAACAGTTGAGGTTAATTTTGCCTGTGAAATAATAGGGAAAGAGAAATGTTTGGAATTTAAATTATGCAGATAGCTAAGTCCTTAATCCTAAACTTTAAATCCCTTAAATCTGTCTGGAGTGTCTTAGAGGCTTTTTAATAGTCATGAAACTGAATGAGTCCTTACTCCGGTTACTTCCTGTGTTCAATGGCACTTAGGTTTGTTGTGAACAAAATACCATCAGCAACTTTCATTGTGCTGATTAAAGATGTAATTTTCAGAATCGTCTATATACACTTTTGTCTCCGTCATACTGCCTTAGTGACTGTGAAACCATAGTTAAATCACAAAAGTAGCCTGTCTCTTTTGTGTCACTGGAAATTTGGTCGAATTTATCATTATTTTTTTAATGATATTTTACTGTATATGCTATTAGAGTTGTCCCAATTCTCCCCCCTTTGTCCATCTCCACCCACCCTCCGCCTGTTGGCTCAGGCGGCCCCCACACCACTGCCCCGTCCCTGGGTCATGCGTGGATGTTCTTTGACTAATCCCTTCACCTTCTTTCATCCTTCTTTCTTCTTCCTCTTTTATTTTTCACCAAAAGTTTTGTTAATGAAAATTGGGAAAAAATAGACACATTACTTTGACTATGTATCCCTTATCTTCAGTAACAGAATATATTGATCTTTATTTTGTAAACAACTGAAAAATTTATTGCAATTTAAAAAAATATGTAGCTTAGAGAGATGCTAGCATTTTTTAAAGATTCCAACTAGATATGAGGAAGGAATATGATTTTGAGTATTAGTTCACAGAGGGTGACACTGTGAACTTCAGAGAGATTGAGATGAGTGTGTAGTTGAGCTTCTCATATCCAGAGCACGCATTTTGGACATTATTTGACTTAACAGTTATTCACATGATTAGTCGATCAGTCCCATTACTTGGTGCAAGTATTTTGGGGAACAGCCATCGAGGTAGACCTCTGTGGTGTACAGACTAGCAGCTGTGCTAAGCCAGACCAGACAGTGGTGGGAAGGTGCACAGGCCCATCTCATCGAAAGCCGATTCAGCAGTAGTGCTAACTTTCCTCAGCCCAGGAAAGCACGAGATCCTGTTCAGTCAAGTACGTGTGTGTGGATGCATGAGAGTGCATTTGCTGACCATCACAAAGGGTGATGGTCAGCACCCTTTTCTTGTTCTGTGGTTTGTTTTATTTTTATTTTAAATGCTTTCAGTAAATATTAATACCAAGTAGTGGAGACTACTTAAGAGCTTGTGGAGCCTGGCTGGAAAGCTAGGGAATGCTCTTCCCTTGATTTGCAACAGACTCTTTAGAAGGAGGGTTGCTTTGATTTTGTGTCTCCCCATTGGAAGAGCTGCTAGCCTAACTTATCCCCCAGAAATGCAGGACTTCCCTGGAGCCTGACTTCCGTGCATTGTCAGTAGCTGAGCACACATCTGAAATGGTTCAGCTGCAGGCATCACTGGGTGAGGTGTCCCGGGTCAGAGGTGTACGTGGCCATGCCCCGCAGTAATAATGAAATATTGGGCGTGCCTTCACACAGGCAAGAACCCTGTTACAAACCTGAAACTTGGGCCATTTTGCTGTTTAAATTTCTGGTGAAGTCATCTCATCTCCGCGTCCCCCCAGGTGGTTGTCACACCATTGAAAGAGCATGCTGTTTCCCCTTCCCCACCCCACCCCACCCCCACTAACCTCCTTTGTATAGCCTAGTGTCTGGCACTCAGTGCATTTTTATTCAGTCAATGGATATTACTTCCTCTTGCCCTTTCATGCTCATGAGTTTTGAGACTGCCAATGTTGACTAATTAACTGGGACAAGGTGTCACAATCATGCCAATTCACAAGACCCCCTTTTCTGTGGCTGATGCCTTGAATTTCTATTCATGAAAGAATGTGTCTAGTTGATTACAACTTTTTAATTTTGTTAATTTGGTTTTTTTTGCAGGGGTCTTGCCCCTCAGAATAAGCCAGAACTGCAGAAGGTGATGGAAAAGAGAAAACGAGATCAGGTAATAAAGCAGAAGGAAGAGGAAGCACAAAAGAAGAAGTCTGACTTGGAAATAGAACTATTAAAACGACAGCAGAAGCTAGAACAGGTAAGGATGACGGGGTGAAGGTGGTCTTTTTTGTCACTGAGCTATACTCGGCATACGACACTGTGTAAGTTTAAGGTGTACAGCATATTGCTTTGGTACACTTATGTTGCAATACGATTGTCACCTTAGTTGATACTGCTGTTGCATCACACAATGATTCTTCCGTAGTTGGGGACAGTTAAGATCTCGTCTCTCAGCAAGTTGAAGATTTATGGCAGTTTTGTTGTCTGCAGTCACTGTGCTATTGTGTCACCGTGCTGTTATTTATCAGGTCTCCAGGACTGTTTGTCTCCTAGTTTCGGGTTTGCACCCTTTCTTTGACCACCATCTTCCACCTCCCCACCTCCAGCCCCTGGTAACTTCCACTCTGCTTTCTGCTTTCACAAGTTTTTTTTTTTAAAAGACTCCACATGCAAGATATATGGTATAATATTTGTTTTTCTCTGACTTATCTCACAAGTTGTCTTTGAGACAACTTGTCCTGAAAAATAAGAATGTTGGAATAAGCAGAATCGGCCCTTGCCATTGAGGATCAGTGTTGGAGCATTGTCCCAGAGACCAAAGGGTTGCGGGTTGATGCCCAGTCAGGGCACGTTACCCAGGTTGCGGGTTCCATCCTGGTCAGGGTGTGTGCAAGAGTGCAATCAATCAATGTTTTTCTTTCACATCACTGTTTCTCTCTCTCCCCCTTCCTGTCTTTAAAAAGGAAGAAAAAATGTTCTCAGTAATCTCTCTCTCTCTCTTCTTCCATTTCTCCTACTGAAAGAAACTTTACCTGACATGTCAGATATAAATGTTTATGCCATGAAAAGAAAATGTGAGGCAAAATATCAGCAAATGGCCTAAAACACATTTAAGTGAAAGTCCAGGATTCTGTTGAGGACCTAGAAGAGATTCAGGAGGCAAAGCCAACACCAGGGGCTTTCAGTGGATTCACAGTGTTGGGAACTCAGGCAATTGAGTGAACTTTAACTTCACTGAGAGTGTAGAACTGGGATGATCTCAAGATCTCGTTGTCTTAACCCTGATTTTTAGATTCTCATCATCTCTGGCATGGCTTGTAGTTACAGCCCATCCGGCTGCTGTTCCTGTGTGGAATTACATGAGGCTAATATACATATGTGTGTGTGCATTGCTTAAAACCGAGACCAGGAGAAACAAAGCCATTAAGGACTTTGGAAAGAGGAGTGTTTTGAAAAGCCTCTCAGTTTGTAAATAATTTTCCTGTTTCTGAATTTTATTCAGCTTGAACTTGAGAAGCAGAAACTGCAAGAAGAGCAAGAAAACGCCCCAGAATTTGTGAAGGTTAAAGGCAATCTTAGGAGAACAGGCCAAGAAGTGGCCCAAGCCCAGGAGTCGTAGGCCCAGGCCTCAGAGACTGTGCTGACACTGTGAGCGGTGCCTCCTCAAGGCTTCATCTCGGGGCACAAACCCCTGGGGAGCATCCCAGCCAGCAGAGCATCATCACTTAAAAAGGATTTGGCCTTGGCCCACCTGCTATCTGGGTGGGTGCATTACCTGCGACAGCTGCAGTTCCTATTCGCCAAACAAAGGACGTTGACCAGCACCCAAGTTGGGATATGGACCTGTGTTCAAAGACTCTGAAAACAACAAGTAAAGGAACAGGACACTGGAATAAAATCTTGAGAGTTGCACTACTTGGTTTTCCTGCCGATCCAAGTTCAGTGGGGGCACAGAGCCTTTTTTCTTTCAAAAACTAAAGAAAACGTGTTTTATTCTTCCTTTAGTTATCTGCTAGGTAATTTAGATCACATAGAAATGCATTTGATCTGTTACAGCCAATATTCAGTAATTCTGTTTTGGGAACCCCAGATTTTGTTGTTTTATTTACACTTCCACGCCCGTTAGGTGAATTCACACCTGAGAACGTAGGTGATAATGTTGAGCACAACTGTTACCTTTATGGACAGCCGTAGGGTGAAGAGGGTTTAAAATATGTAAACAAACATACATAAACAAAATACCTGAACGGCCATCTTGACTTTATTTTAATTTTGGGGGTTATATTCCATGGTAACATTCCAGCTCAGAGAAGGCACATTATGTAAATCCATTTATTGCTTTGATAACTATTTTATTTTTTTAATTTCTTGCTGAGCTTGTCCTTTTATATGAAATAATCTCCTCCATCCTTTGGACAATAAAAGCTAGTCCACGTAACTAATTTCAGTGTCGAAAGTAGAGGGTCTAAATCTTTTGACTCCTTCTGAGAGCTGTGTGGAGAATGCTCCCGCTGGGAGCCTCGAAAGGAGGGGTTCTTTGGCTGTTTGAATGTGAAGCAAGTGTAGACCGGTCTCAAGGAGGCCACGTCGGAAGAGTCATAGCATTTGTACACGTTGAACGTTATCAGAATCCAAGCCTTGAAAATTTCTGAGTAATGATCACCCATTTCTTTACTTTTTTTTTCTTGAGAAGAAAGACTGTCTCCCCACTCTCTTAGTTACGATGATGCTATTGATAATGATGACGTTAATGACTACTATTCTGCATCTCAGGAAAAGCCAACGTGAAGGGAGAAGCTGCTTAGTTTTTGAATTCTAGCTAGCAAGCTACTCAAAGTGAAGCCCAAGTTGCCAGTAGCAGCAAGTTCTTAGGCAGGATTCATTCTCTACTGCTGGTGTGGTACATTCGACTTGGGGCAGTCCGGAAGAATTTATGTGGATTCAGTATGCTCTCCATAGCGACGATTCAGCCAGTAGTTTCTCCATTGAAGACCTTCTTATAATTCCTCTAAAGGCACATGGAAAGCTGGGTTCTGAGCTTTTGAATTCTTAATAAGCATAGGAGAAATTGGCTTCCTGTGGGAATGCTTTTCATAGTTGACCATTATGCTCATAATCAGTGCTAATGTGAACAAGATATAAGTAAATGCAGTGATCGTATACTGCTAGTTTGAGACTATGTAGATCACATGTGGAATGGGTGACTTCCCTCATCAGTAAGTATTATTTGAATAAAATAGGAGGCATTTCAGAGAATATATTGCTCTATCGTAGTGGGCTTTTGAAGGATGGAATGGCAACTTTTTTCCATCACTACCTTTTCAGAGAAGAAAGTACGTTAACTGATTGTCTTGAAAGCACATTTCCGATTGCACACTGACCGCAGTTCTTTCTCTGTGTGTGTGCACTAACGATGTGACCTGTAAAGTGAGGCTTCAGGACTGGCTCAGACGTAGCCTTTACTGCATGGAAGATCTTCAGATCCTGTGTCCTTGAAGCAGTTCTGCCACTTGATGAAATTCTCAAGGGCTCGCTCTGGCAGACTCCTTTAGTAGGATGAATTCTGTCTCTAGAACTTACCTAGAATCCATTCTTCCCTGGGAAAAAATAAATTACACAAGCATTGCCCTCCCAATCTCATAAATCCGCAGACTTCTTTGTAGTTCGTAGTACAAGGTCTGGCCAAACCAACGCTTGTAAATAGGACACAGTGATGTCTTAGTGGAAGGTACATGTAGAGAAGCTCCCTGAAGTCAGCAGATCAGCTTAGCTCATAGGCCCATGTTTTAAAAGGCCTCGGTCTCCTTCAGCGCTTCAACACTGTACCCTCCAGACCCCGGGACTCACGGACATCCGAGCAGCTTTGTGCTTTGAGCCACTTTTGGACAAAATCGGCTCCATTTTTCCACTCCATGGTTTTCTTAAACTAGTTCAGTGTTTTATAGTCTCCTAGTAGGAAAGTAGTGTTGCTTTCTAAGCTATAACAGTTGACTTTATTCTTCTACTCTGAAAAATCTTGACTCATTTGAGTGTATATAATATATATAAAGGGAGCCTTAATGGGTTTGTTTTCATAATTTAATATTTTTTGTATTTGCTCTTGTATAATTGTTTTTAATGAAAGTATTACAGAATCAAGGGTGGAATTCTTAGAACCAAAGTTATTCTTAATAAAAATCACCACATGCTTGGACCATGCAGCATTATCTGTCTGGTGTTTTTACAATGGACGTGTGTAACCGAGGGGTGGGGAAGGTGGGTCATGTTCAGTTCAAAGATCAGACAGTGGTTCTGAGGTCTCGCTTTGATGGCTGTCCTATTGTACAAACTTGTCCCCAAATTAGTTATGTCCTCTTGCCTTGTGTCAGTCAAGACTGATAATTTATGATGTTGAATTTATGCTAAGGTATAATGCTGCACTTTGCGTAGAATACATGGTATTTTAGCAGCAGCTGTCAGTGCTGCAGATCAGAGTATTCCGAATGTTAGGTAGCTTGGTAGGACAGTGGGAGATGTATTTTGGGAAGGAACAGTTTTCAGTGCTTGTGAACTAGTATACCTGGCATGTCTGAACTATGAGCATAAAATTATTTTGCTGATGCAGCTAGAATAAGGTTGCCCTCAGAGAAGTTACTTTGGGAAGCTATACACATGATTTTATCATGCTATCAATTACATTAGTTTGGAGGTTTCAATCTCTTTACTTTTGCAAGCCCAGATTATTACTCAGCCTGATCACCCAATTCCTAGTATCCTTGGACTCTTTTGAAAATCAGATATACTCAGGGCAGTAAAGGTTTTCTTTCTCTAAGGTTATACCATGAGTTCTAAAGGCCAGCACAGAAGACGGGTTCCAAAAATTATTAGAACAGTAGCTGTATCCTTGGAACAAGAAGGCATTTTCACAAGGTGACGGTTTTAAGGCAGCCAGTCCATTCACTGGGCCCCTGTATGTTTGTTGCTTATAGTAGCAGGTAGATTTGAAAGGAGACGTGGCGACTAATGCTTTTGGTCGGACTTGAAATGCTATTGTACAGCTAGAAGAAGTGTTAGAATATTACTGCCAGGCTTACATTTACTGGTTAGTATACTGAGAAAGAGTGTTTCCTTCTGAGGTCTTAGGGTAAATAAAGTCTTTATGAGTAAGCTCCACAATTACAATTTTCACTTTTTTCTCATGAGAAAATGCATTTTGATTATCAGTGGAATCTATTCTGAATGTCTTCTCAGTTGCTCCTGGATTTCCTAGGGCACTTGGTTATCTATGGACAGTGCTGATCGCCGCTGGGATGTTACTGCACCTGGGCCCTGGAAGGTTAGGAAATACACATGCGTGTGAGTGTAAATATGTATTCATACATTTGCATTGATATTTATAATGGTTGGAAATCATTAGTTCACAGTGATATCCCCAATTCTGACCCAATAGCACATTCTAGCTTTTTCTTCTTTTCCATATTAGTAGCCCCCTTTTCCAGCAGGGGAAGCCTAGCTGCCCCCCCCACATCCTTATTTCTTAGTCATGTTGGAGGTAACTCATCTCTGAACTTTGCTGAGCCACCGTCTGCACTCTGACCTTGCCTGAATTGCTCAGGAAGGAAACGCCGGTTTTTGTTTTCCTTGTGTATTTAAACAGTTATTTAATGTGAATTGAATTAAACTGTCTCAAACAACTTAAATTGCAGTTGCAGTTTGGTGTGCCTGATTGTGTTGAACCTTCCAGACTCCTTATATAGCACATGAACCGTGCTTGATAGATTGCTTCTCCAGAAAGTCAGAGCCACTAGGAAATAGATATAAAGGAAAGGTATATCTAAATATAAAGCAAGATATACTTGAGAAATCGGCTCACACATTGGTGGAGGCTGAGAAGTCCCACCATCGGCATCTGTAAGCTGGAGATCAAGAGAACAGGTGGTGCAGATAAGTCTGAGTCTGAAGACCTGAAAACCAGGAGAACTGAGAATGTAAATCTTAGTCTGAGGGCAGGAGAAGACCAGTGTTCCAGCTTTGCCATCAGGCAGAGAGAAGCAAAACCTCCCTTCCTCTGCCTTTTTGTTCCCTTCAGACCCTCAACTGATCAGATGATGCCTGCCCACCCACATTAGAGAGGACTATCTACTGTGTCCGACAGTCAGTTCAGATGCCGGTCTCATTTGGAAACACCAGCCAGGCACACCCAGATGTAATGCCTAACAGCTGAGTTGACACATAATATAATTGAATACAATGATACACACGTTAAAAATTTAAAAAATCTGTTTTACAAATCAACCTTTAAGCATTAAAATGTCCAACAATATTGCATTAAAATTACTTCCCTATTTTTATGGCCGTATATATTATCATATCTCCCTAGGGATTTGGTTATACTTTATTATGTGCCCTGGGCTTGTAGTAACCTTACCAAACCCTAAAAGAAAAAAAAAAAAAAGGAATAGTTGCTCAGAGTGACTGAGAGAACATAATCTGTAATCTGGGTTGTTGACTGATTCTTACTCAGGATGTAAAGATATCCAAAGCTGGGTATGTTGTCCAAGCTGATTCAACCATGAGTCACAGGCCTTGGGTAAGTCCTTTCCGGGGGGAGGGTAAGTCCTTTTATAATGCGTCCTTATTTTGTCATGGAACTTTTAATATCTTGCCATTTATATTACTTTAATGTTTTGAAACTTGGTGCAATTCCCAGAAAGCATGTGCTTCCGTTTGGTATGGCTGCATCACCTCTGGTCCTGCCTTTGTGATGTATTGGTCTCGTCTGCTAGTGTTATTGAAAACTTAGGTATGCTTTATCAATATCGTATAATTAGGAGGATCATCTTGAGATTTTGTCTGCCAAGAGTCATCCAGTCTGTGTGATGAGTTCTGTAGTTGGAGGTACTTAGCTCCAAGATAATAATCTTGGACATACTGTTGGGTCCTTTGAAATTTGTTATTATTGTTGATCAGCTGGACTCCTTTTCTCCTGAGTTATCATATGTGGCCACTGATGGTGGTCGGTCTTCTTTTTGTACTGTAGTTTCCTCATTTATCTTCCAGATGTCCCTTGTTTCTTCTGTCTACATAGCTAAAGATAAGATATGCCCACAATTTGTACGAATGTATATTCTTAGTGGAACAAGTTAACTACCCTTACACGTGAACATTCCCCTAAACATATAGTCATCCTTATTTTGTATTACAATTCCTTTTTCTTTTTATCGTCATGAGTCTGTGGCCTGTAATATATTCAACCTAAAATTTTCATCTCCTTTTTTTAGATAATCAGAATGTTGAAACTCAGCTAGTGGAAGCTCTGCAAGCTTATTCCTTTGTTTTCACTTTTATTTTTTTTGAGTTTTATGAAATATTGCTTCTAATAGGTACAAGAACATCCTTATTTTGTTACAACAGTAGGATTTCTCAGACCGTCCTGTTTTTCTTTCCTCATGTAAGACATAGGACTCTGTGCCTGTCGAGGAGCACTGGTTCCCTGGCGGGGAGCAGGGAGAGAGGTCCACACCCAGCACGAGCGCACGGGGCAGTCGCTGGGGGCGGAGGTGCTCCTGCACTGTGAGTGGCCACGGAGCCACTGGACACGGAGTCACCCTGGCTTTTCCATTTTACCCCCTGATGACACTTGACCTCATATTTCTTATAGTGTGAGTCTCATTGGACCAGAAACCTTTTCATTACAGTTACAAAGAATTACTGAGAGATTTTCTTTTAAAGTAGAAATTATGAAAGAGGACTTGATTGACCAGATACCAGAACATGCTTGCAAGCAATAGTGATTTCACTGGGTTGATACTGGCCCTGAGGAGACAAATAGATCAATAGAATGGAATAAAGTTCAGAGAAAGACCCATTCACATACTGAAATTTATGATGAGGTGGAATTTTATTCCAAATGAGTTACAAAAGGATAAATAATTCAACAAAAGGTTTGAGGGCCACTAGAACCAAACAAGTAAGGTATTCCTCTATTTAACATCATATGTAACACTAATTTCCAAATTTATTAAAGTGGTCAACATAAAAATAAAACTACAGAAGTATTAGGAGACAATATGAGGGATTATTATTTATAATCCTAGAGGTGGGAGAGGCTTTTCCAGGCAAGACATCTAACTTAAAATCTGTAACAAAGAAAACATTTAGCTGGCAAAAATGAAACATTAAAAAAAAAAAACACTGAAATTGAGAATAGGCTGACAGTGACCAGAGAGGAGTGGGGAGGGAATTTCAGGTGAAAAGGGGAAGGGTTTACAGGAACAAATATAAAGGACACATGGACAATAACAAGGGTGGGGGTGGAAATGGGAGGGAGGTGGGGAGCACGGGGGTAGGCTGGGATAGGTGTAAAAGGCAGAAAACTGTACTTGAACAACAATTAAAATGAAAAAAAAAAGGTTACAAGTAACAGACTAAGGTATATTACATAGATGGCAACAAATGTGTAATACCTCCATTATCTACAGAGTGTCTGTAATTATCAATCCAATAACAAAATGACCAAACATATACAGGCACTTCCACAAAAACATGAAGGACCCCTTACATGAAGAGATGCTACATCTCACTAGTACCTGGAAATTTGATACTAGTGCAGTAAGTGAAAATTTGAACAACAATGAGGTAATTTTATACAAATGTTCACAAAGCAAAAGTTAAAAGGTTGATAATTGATACTGTTGGTGAGCATGTGTAGAGACAGGCACTCGAGTTTAAAACACACACTAGAACGGAGGTTATTGACAAGATAACAGGTGTTGACTAGGATGCTGGTGATGATGTAAGATGGTGACTCAGCAGTTCTACTCAAGCGTATACCTACGGCAAATGAAAACATACGTCTGCACAAAGGCTTGCACACAGATGTTCATGGCGGCACTATTCATAATAGCTAAAAAGTGGGAGCAGCCCCAATGTCTATCAACTGGTGAGCGGATAAGCAAAGATGGTACATCCACACAGCGGAATATTATTCAGTCCTAAAAAGGAACACAGTACTGATACCTTCCACAGTGTCAGTGTACCTGAAGAACAGCATGCTCTGTGAAAGAGGGCAGACCCAGAAGGCATGGTTACATGTGCATAGCGATGTCCAGAACAGTGAAAATTATAAGGACAGAAGGCAGGTTAGTGGTTGCTTCAGCCTGGGGTGGGTTTGGTGGGGGTGGGGAGTGACAGGAAATGGGTGTGAAGGAACAGTTGGAAATAAAATTGTGGTGATGGTTGGACAACTCTTATACTAATGACCAAATTAGTGTAAATATGCCAATATCCACTTAAAATGAGTGTGTTTTATGGTGTTTCAGTTACACTCCAATAAAGCTTTTAAAATGCACATATTCTTTGATACACAATTGCATCTCCAGGAATTTGGTCTTCAGAAATATTTACACACAGAGATTGTTGTTCAAAGATATATTTGCAGCATCTCCCGTAACTTCTCTGGGAAACAACCCACCTGTTTAGCAGTAGTTGACTAGGTTAAGTATGATGTGTCCCTATTTCCTATTACGGACCACGAGGCATGACTCTAAAAGTAAGATTATTACATAGTTCTACATGTACAGAAATAAGACTGAAGCTATATCGTTGCATAATAAAGCAAGCTGCAGAAAAATGCACATGGTATAATCTCATTTACATGAAAAAATTAAAAGTACATAAATCCATACTTCTATGTAAATGCTTATAAATAGGACCGGAAATCTATCATGTCTACAGTGGGGAAGGGAGTTGGGGTTAGAAATAGAGAGAGAGGTCTGTGTTCAGTCAGCATATTTTTATATTTAAAACATTTGATTGAGCGTGGGAGGGGGTGGGCAGGGTAAGGGAGAGCAATGGGGAAAACTGGGACAACTATAGTTAAACAACAATAAAGAAAGGAATCATTTTTTAAAATGAGAATGTGTTTGTTCTTGAATCACTAGTGTTTAAAAGAGCATAAGAAGGAAAGAAAAACCTGGAAAACATGCATGCGTCACACAAACCTACTTTCTGAAGGTTCAGTGCTGTTCACGTCGTCACGGTGTGTGGAGTGCGGTGTGGTGAGACGTCACCACACAGCGGTTTAACGGTCCCAGACAGTGCAGTCACAGGGAGTCTGGCTTAGGAAACCGCCACCAACCCAATTTTAAGTGCACAGGAGTGTAAATGATGGCGAGTCCAAGAGAGAAAGCCAGCGAAGGCACAAAGAGAAGCTGAGACCCCACATGGCCCTGAGAAACCTTCGATTCTGTCAACCCCCTGGGAGGGGATGGAGGGCTTCCTTGTAAGGGATCCAGTTGTAGGGTTCACTGTGAAAATGACTCTGCCCTTTGAATATCTCCGCTGCTGTTGCAATTTAAGGTAATGTGGTGACAGGACTGGCTTCTCCTATCAGTTGATTTTGTTGGCCAAGTTCATGGTGATTGGGAACACGGGGTCATGCAGCTCTGGGCGGGCTCCTGGCTCTGGGCCTCGGGAGAACGCTGGGTTAGCCCAAGAGGCCGGCTTCGAAATGCATTCGCAGCAGAGGACGCCGAGGGCAGTGCCGCCCATCTGCCGTCACTGCGGAGGCCTGAGGTGCCCTCACACGGTGTGTCTTTGGTCGTTGGCCCACAGCGATTTATTCGTTCACCAGGTTCCAGGAAACCGTCTCGCCTGTATTGGCCAGGCACTGGCAAAGGGGCAGGCAGCAGGACCGAAAACCTG